TGTGTTATAAATATTTTCCTGATTTATCATTTGCCCTTGAATTTTCATTATAGTCTTTCTTTTTAACCATGGAAAAGTTGTTGTATTTTTATATCATCACGTTTATCATTCTGTTCTCATATTGCGTTTGGATGTAATGTCTTAGGAAACTTTCTAGTGTTCTAGTGTTTGTGTGGTTCAGTTTTCTCACAGATCTCTGGTCCAACTGAAGTTTATTTTCAATGTGTATAATGTGATATGTGGCTCAAATGCTATGTTTCATTGAATGGCCAACAGTTGTCCCAGCACTGTTTTTACAGTTTACCTTTGCTCCAAGATCACCAGCTTGTGGAGCAGGCCCTGAGTTTTCAAGCTCCTGCACTGTTATTGAAAAAAAAACACACAGGACTTGGGGCAGTTCAAGCATTTGCCTGATAAGTGCAAAGTATGAGCTGGATCCCTGATACCAAAACAAACAACATGGGATTGAACCTGTGTGTGTCTTAATTTGCATCACTTAACTTTCCTTAGTGCCACTGCCCGGGACTACAGAGGAGGTCTTATAAAATGCTGGGGCCTCCCCTGGCCTGGACCACACCTCTGCCTCGGGGCTGCAAGGCCAGGCATCTCTGGCTCACTGTGTGGGAGCACAGAGTCTACTCCAGACCTGCTGTCACCATCACCATCACCACATCATCACCCTCACCATCACAACAGGTGCCACCACTATCATCATCACCATCAGCACAAAGAAAGGCACGAAACCCACATAGCCTTGGTACTCACGTCTGTCCTCACTCCACTCACTGCGCCATGGCACCTTGGAGGCTCTTGGCTAGTGTGGCTGCATCTCAGCCAACTCAGGCTGCTGTGACACATACTACAGACCACGTCACCTGCAGAACAGTTTGCGGAGAATGGGGTGGCCACCAAAGCGTGACATTAGAGCTGGGGGACTCCCTGAGGGACCTGGTTCAGAGTCCAAGGACTGCTCCTCTGGCAGATAGGGTCTCGCGGTGCCACCCTCCCCACCCCACACACTCGAGAGTGAGAACCAGATGCCGCCTCTGTGCCTCTCCACTCTCCCTTGGGCCAGTGGGGAGCCCATTGTACTCTGTAGTGTTCACAGTCTCCCACACACAGGGAGAGGCCTTGGGGGACCCTAGTAGCATTTAGGTGCCTAGGCTGTGTGTGGGTTGTGTGACTAAACAGTATGGCTATAGGAGAGATAGGTGTCTTCCAGGGTTGCCCATGGAGGTTATTGGAGTCATCAGGAAGGAGAGGCAGGCTAGGAGCCAGAGAAGGTGCCCAAGTCTCTTTTATCCAGGTCGGGAAAAGGGCTGGAGCTGGAATTTAGAATAGAGAAGCTGATGGGGAGTCCTTTGCCGCGGCAGACTGAACCTCCAAAGGAGTATAAACAAGCACCTCAGCCTGTTTTGGGAGATGCTTGTTACCTTGTTCTTGTTATTCAAAAAAGGGCACTGATATCTGAATGGCATAAAAAGGATTTAAATTTTGTGTATATCATTTATATTACATTATAATGAGAAGAGATTCACATATACTAGCTGTGTAAAATTTACACAGTAAAATATAAACAAAGTTTAACTATCAAACAGTTGAAAAATTTTCAGTGGCATTCCATCATCTGGAATGGAGCAAAATCTGACCTCGCCTGCAGTGTGACCATTTACAGTTTGTACCTTCTCTGTGTTGTGCAGTCATCACCGCTACCTAGTTCCTGAACATTTAACACCACAAAAAACAACCCCATCCCACTCCCCCACCCTACCCCTGACCCCCGTTCCTGACACCACTAATTCATTTCCTATCCCTGGGGATTCATTGGTTCTGGACAGTCCAGGTAGAGGGAGTCAGAAAACACGTAGGCATTGTGACTGGCTGCTTCTGCCCAGCATAAGTTTTCAAGGTCTGTTCACATGGTAGCACCGGGCAATGCTCCACCCTGTGTGGCTGAATAGTGTCCCATCGTGACAATGTCCTACAGTTTGTCCATCCACTGATGAACACTGCAGTGGTTCCACTGTTCAGTGACTGCGAAGAACATTGCTGTGGACACTGTCAAATGAGGTATTTTTAAACACTTGAGTCCCTTTCAGCATGTACTCAGAAATGGCACAGGTGGGTCACATAGTAATTCTGTGTCTAACTTGTTGAAAGACTTTATTTCTAACACAGAGAGAAGATATACAAATTACCAAGTGTTAGATGCATGTTATAAAAAAAAAAGATGCACATGTATGAAAGTGAAGATTTCCCCATGTCCAGTCCTGGCTCTCAGCTTCCCCTCCTGCTTCTCGTGGCTACCATTTGATCTGTGCCTTTTCTTCAGACGGTTTATTTACATGTGTGCATACACACAGACATGTACACACAGTTTTTAAAAATGGTTCTATACTATAAACACACTGTTCTGCATCCAGCCTTTCTCCCCACATAACAGCAATGTCTTCTAGGTGTCCTTAACTGTCAGTGTCAATGAGATGCTCCTCCTCCTCCTGCAGGTATAAGTGTCTCTGTGGTGGCCTCCGCTTGGACATGACAGGGGTCACTTAGCCAGTGCCCTTCTGATAGGCATGCAGGTTGTTTCTGAGCTGCTTTGCTTTCACAAGTAGTAGCATCCAGAAAAACTCGATGTGTTTCATAAATGGATAATATTCCTTTGCATGGATGGGCCATATCTTAGCTCTCCATCTGTCCGTGGTTGTTTCCTATTTTTGACTTTCACCATTAATGCTGCCATGACGTTCATGTGTAAGTTTTTGTGTGGATCTGGGTCTTTATGTGCATATGTCTAGAGGTGCAGTTGCTGGGTCGTAATGTGCGCTCCTGAGGAATGGCCCACGCTGTCTCCAAAGCACCTGCAACATTTTATGTTCCCGTCAGCAGCAGATCAGGACGCCAGTCTCTCCCCTCTGCCACCAACACTTCTGTCATTTTGACTTTTTGTAGCCATCCTAGTGGACTGGGTGAAAAGTGGTATTTCTTGGTGATTTTATCTTTTCATATCCTTATTAACTATTGTATAGGTCAATAGTGGTGAACCTATTGCAAGGGTGCCACAGAGGGGCTATTGGTATCACTGAGAGCACTAGAAGATTTGTCATTACTGGTTTACGTTCTTTGGAGCATCTTTCAGATGCTTTCTTCATTTTTAAACTGAGTTATCTTTATTACTGAGTTGTCTTCACTTTTTATTTATTCTAGATACAAGTGTATCCTGAATTCAAGTCTTACTATTTGCAGAAATTCTCTCCCATTCTCTGGGTGGTCTTTTCGTTTTTAATGGCGTCCTTTAAGGCACAAAAGCTTTGAACTTTGATGAAGTCCATTTTACCTGTAAGGCTCCACTCAGACTGACTCTCCCAATACACAATCTGTCTCCCAGCAGACGTATTGTTCTCAGCTCAGCACCCAGTGCCCTCAGCAAACACAGGATGTTGTAAAAGTGATGATAGAGCACAAAATCTCCCAAGCATGAGATATCTAACACACCCAAACATTTCCACCAGATGCCTCAAGGACTTTGCCCACTGAGGCACAAGACATCCAGAGAACTTTGATCACTAATGTTTACTAAGATCTTCCCACCTAATATCCCTTGCTTTCCTTCAAGTTCTATTTTTAAAAATGCCCACTTCTCTTTGCTCCCTACAGATGGCCTTTTTGCCCTCTGCCCGCAGTCAGGCACAATAAATTCCACACCGTGTTGCCTTTATGCAAGCTCAGTGGTCTCAGCTGGTCTCTGCCTCATGCCATTCATTATATTATCTGTCTTTTGTTGTTTGTGCTTTTGGTGTCATGCATTTCCTAGTTTCAGCTCTTTCATTTAAAGCTTGATCTATTTTGAGTTGGTTTTTCTATAGAGTGTGGGTTTGCAGATATTCTGAAGGTAGAGTCTCAGCTTTGGCGATGGTCGGGGACAGGAAGAGAGTGGGGAGACCCAGGGGCCTGGTGCCCACTGAGGGGTGGACCAGGTGGAGGAAGAGCGATTTTGGGAGAAGGAATACAGGATCCTTCTCTGGCTGTGAGATGGAGTATGAGTAGTATTGGGGTGTAGTGGGATTTCTTTAAAACACAAGAGGGGTGTCTTGAAGAGCGACCCCAGAGAGTGACATAGCCTGGAAAGGAAGCTCTGTGGCTGCCCAGAATGTGCGGGGAAGCTGAGAAGGAGCAGCCAAAGGAGGAGAAAAACTGAGGCGGCCTCGGGAAGAGGCTGTGAGGAAGGGGATTCGGTATCCAGTCTTGGGCTTCCTGACGCTGTGTGTTCTGCGGCAGGTACCTTCCCTCTCTGGGCCTTGTCTGGGCAGAGTGTGAATGAAGCTTGTGAAAATGGTGGAGTCCCGTGTTTACCAGCTGTGACTGTTTCCCCAGTTAATAGCTGAGTGGAAGAAGTGGCAGCCAGACTAGCGGATGCATCCCATCCTTGCACATTTCTCTATGTGTGAGTGTGCACAGGGGTTTGGGTGCAGGCAGAATGTTCCAAGTGAGATCACCGGGAATGATCACTGACAGAAATGAGGCTGGCTGACGTTTGTGGAGGCTCTTGCATGGCAGGGACTTTGGAGTAGGGTGAGTGGAGCCAGGATCCCCGGTGCAGGCCTGCCCCCTGCTGGCTGAACATGTCACCCAGCTCTGTATATTGTTGCCTTTGTGGCTCAAATCCTAGATTTGACCTCTAGCTCACCTAAATTCAGGCCTTGGGGCGCCTCGCCTTGGAATGGCCTCATGTTCTGATAAACTCAGAAGCTGAAAATACAAGTCAAAATGCATTCAATACACCTTTATAAAATAAGCTATGAAATTATGAATGATCTAACAGGGATATTTTAACATCACAGAGCAAAGTAGAATGCAGTGGTTTCCACTGGTCATGGGACAGAGTGTTACCTGATGAGGGTATGTCATGATTTAAACTGCACCCCCTGAACTCACTTGTCCCCGCTTTCTAGAGAGTGGGTTGGGGAGTGGCCCCTTTAAGAACCCCCGTGAGGGTGAACGTGGCAGTTGGAGCCTGGTGAAAGAAGGACCAGGTGGCAGGGATTCATCAGGTGTGTACAGGGTGTCATCAGTTGCACACAGGGAGTCATCAGGTGTGAGCAGGCCCTCAGCCATTGCCCCCTCAGGCCTGCAGGCGTTCCTGGGAGTTCACCCAGCCACAGGGGCCCTCTCTGAGAATGGATCACCCCTCTCACGTGTGCATGTACCGTAGAGCCTGGGACACATGGCAGCGGGCGAACGAAGCAGAGGGAGCATGCTAGGGAGGTTGGAGGGGCGTGAGGTCAAGCTGGCCACCCTGCTATACCTTGAGGAATAACGCAGTTAGAGGAGGGACCTGAGCAAACAAGATTTTCACCTTGTAAGAAGGTGGGAAGCCTGATGTTAATGGAGCAGAGAAATTGTTTTTTGCCTGGGTGTGTGAAATGATCAGGTGGGGAACAGGGAACAGGTGGCTAGGCGAGGTGACTAAGTCAACGCTGGAGCCCTGGAAGTTTGGGCCCTGGTTGACTATGTGGCCTGGAAAGTTCCCTTTAGCTGCAGAATGGGAGAGCTTGGAGGGGGCTGGACAGAAGGTCAGTCAGTTCTCCTGCTGAGGAAGAGTCCAGGCCCAGAGTGGAGAATGTAGAGGGGCAGCCTGCAGGTGAGGTAGGTGGCCTCAAAGCCTGACCTCACTGCCTGGTACACAGAAGGTTCTCAGTAGATACCATCTGTATGGTTGGTTGACTGAACGTTTTTTGTTTTTTGTTTTCCTGTACTAGAAATTTGAACCCAAGGCCTTGGGCATACTAAGCATGTGCTCTGAACCACTGAGCTGCACTTCCAGCCCCTAATAATTTTGAGAGGGCCCGAGTCCTTTGAGCTCCTTCCTGTACTCCTAGAACAATGGGGTACATGTGGATTTCTTGACTGTCAACTCAAGAAATACTATCCCTAAGAGTGCTTCTTGTATAAACTAATAGAAAAGGAAGTTTAACCCAGCAAGAATTGAAGGAGAAATCCTGGAATCTATTTGAACAGAGCACTCAGTGACCTTCCCTCTGGTTCCTGCCCTCCCCGCCTTGCCCAGGAGTAAGGTCCCTAGGAGTCCTGGTGAGTCCCTCAGAAGCTTCCTAACATTTCAAGCTGCCTTTTCAACTGACTCCACTTTGTGGCCTCCTCTGATGTTTTGCCAACATAACTATAAGACTGCTGGGTCCTCGTTGTCTCCCTTCATCTCCAGTTTGTCCTTTCCATCATGCCCACTTATCTGTTTCTTGCTGGAAGCAAATGTCCTTTCCCACACTGGCTGCTCTGCGTCAGGCCCTGAGCACAGTTCCCAGGGAAATATGACAAGACAACAGCCTGGCTCCTGACCGAACGAGGACTTAGGGCCTCCCCACAGACAGCAGAGGATTTCCCAGTGTATTAGTTTCTTTAATTTAAAAAGAAATGTATAGTGCTAAAGCATAAAAGACAGTAAAGTTGTATTAGTGAACTGAATGTAAATACTGTATAGTAAACCATGATTGATTTCTTCCGTGAAGCTAAAAGTCAAGGAAAGATACAGCCTGAAGCTTAGAACAGGATGAGAAATTATCCTCATGATTATGCTATGCATCATAGCAAGAGGGATTCTGCATCTGTAATCAAGATTGCTAATCAGCTGTCCTTGAGTTAATGGAGAGGCAAATCATCCAGTGGGACTTGATTCTTTTATGTGTTGATGTTGTTTTTTGTTCTGTTTTGTTTTTTGTTTTTCTGGCTTTTGAGACAGGGTCTCACTGTGTAGCTCAGGCTGGCCTTGAGCACACAGTGATCCTCTTTGCCTCAACCTCCTGAGTTCTGGGATTACAGGCGTGAGCTACCACACCCAGCAGATGGAGGTTTCTAAGCCATTGTTTGTGATAATTTGATAAATAGTAACAGAATATTAATGTAATCTCTATATCATATCATAGAATTGGAAGTGACAGAGCAACCAAAACTATTTTACATTTTTCTGTACTAATTCTTAATACTCTACTGTGGCATGTAGCTGACTTTAATTCACCTCTGTCAGGAGGGAAAGTCATAAAGAGATCCAGAAACAAGTAAGACTTTAGGACATGAAAGAGGGAGGGAGGGAAGGAGAGAGAGAGAGAGAGAGAGAGAGAGAGAGAGAGAGAGAGAGATGTGTGTCATGTGGAATTTCTATCTGTGAAAACAAATATATGTTTCACTTAGTATCCACAGAACAGTCACAAGGGTAGCGATACATTTGACTAGAAATTTTTGTATAGTCTAAGTAGAAATGACAGAATTATTCTCTGCTTTCAGTGCAAAGAAAAATAGAAACTAACAAGTTCAATATATGTGATTCTTATATTGAACTTCCACAGAGGCTGGATTTTCTGTTATCACATTAAGACATTAGTCATTGATTTATTAAAAATTGTTGGGCTGGGGATATAGCTCAGTGGCACCTGGTAAGTGCGAGGTCCTGCATTTGATTCCTGGTACCTAAATAAATAAATACACAGTAAAAAAATTTTATCAAGAATAGATTTTAAATCTTACCAAAATTTTTGCTTCAAAAATTATGTTAATTTTTCTTTCTAAGCAATTAATATTAAGACCTGTATCATGGGTTCTCTTTTTATTGAACTTCCCTCTATGTTCAGAATAAGTGACACGTTGTCATAGTGTGTTATTCTTTGGATGTGATGCCTTACTCTGTTGTTAATTTTTCTGCAATGCCTATAATGGATTTGTCTGGTTGTGTGTGTGTGTGTGTGTGTGTGTGTGTGTACGCGCGTCCTTGCTGGGCTATACTATCAAGGTCACCCTAGCTTCAGGTTTAGGGATAAGTTCTCAGTAAGGGGTAAGAGATTGTGTTCATATTGCTCTTAATTAGTTTCTTTCCTTTTTTTTTTTTTTTTTTTTTTCCTGCACAGTGATTTCTTCCCTGACACAGCAGTGCGGTTCAAAAATGGACAATATGGTATGTGATATTCTGTGAGGATGTTATAACTCAAGAGTCTCATGAAAACAAAGCAAAACAAATCCTGTTTACTGACTACTAAAAGAATATTCGCATTAACATTTAAAGTGTGTGTGTGGCCAAAGAGGAAAAAGGCAGCTTGGTGGAAAAGTGTCTTTACCTTGTTCCCCTGCTGCAGTCTTGTTCCTGCTCCTCCTCTTGTGCCCCTATAAATGATCTTAACACTTAATCAAAATGTTGAAGTCCCGCCACCTCAGCCTACTGTTTTTCCTACCCCTCTCTAACATCTGTGCAATCTCCTTGCTCCTGCCCTCCCCTCCTCCTCACCCAGCCTGTCGGAAGACATCATTTCCTTGCGTGAGAGCGTCGAGACTTTACATTTCATCTTCTCTCTGTTGCCAATCAGCTAAGAGTTCTTATGCTTGATTCCGGTGGAAATCATGAATTAGTAAAGTGTAGGTCTCCTAGCAGTCCTGATGCCACCAGATGATGCCAGATGATACTGGATGCAACAGCTGGCACAGCTGGCTGCTGGTCACTGCCACTGCTGGCTACCATCAGCTTGTAGGTTAATTCTGCTGAGTGCTATTCTATGCTGCTGGTCTTTGTTCACTGCTGATCTCTGAACTTCTTTAGGGCTAACAGATCTGAGTGTTTATTGCTCGCTCTTTTGAGATGATGGTTTGGCTCATGCCTGAATAAATGTACATGGGCTTTGGAGCCCACACTACCCTATAAATAAATCACAAGCAGCTTTCCAGGACTGCCAAAGCCAGTCTTTATTAGGACACTGGAGGGGGCCCCCCAGGCCAACTCAAGAAGATGTGAAGAATGCTGCTTATTTAGCAGCTGCACGCCTGTGATTGGACCAAGTGACTACAGGGCTCCAGGACAGCTACAGCTGCAGGGCAGAGGTTCAGTGAGTGTGTAGGATGACAAGTTGTTTGACTGACAGCTGTCACTCTCTGGGGAAAAATGATAGGGCTGAAACCAGGGCTAGCTGGTTCAGGGACATTTGAAATATTAACAATTTCCCCATATTTCTCCTTCCCTGATCTTAATCATGCCAGCGTGTCCCCCTTCTTCAAAGAGATGGCAGTGGCATGTGACATGGGAGCAGAGGAGGGGCACGACAGGTGAAAGTCCCTGTAGCACCATTCTGGAGGAGGATGATCCCTAAATAACCAGGGAGGACACCGAGGAAGTTGTCCCAGCCCCTTTGGCAGGGAGTGTGTGAGGGAAGTGGCAGTGGTGATGGGGAGACAGCCTCTGGTCAAACGTGGGCAAAGCAGACTCACCTTTATACTGCATTTTCTTCCTAGGACTTCAGCTAGTTTTACTTTCTTTAACCAGAGGGCAGACACTGAGTATGCTTCTTTAGTTTCTGCAGGGTGTAGCACAGTGCTGTCCTAGTGAGTATTCATCTGCCAAGTTGAGACAGGTTCTCACTGGTTTTAAACTCGCTCCACCCCAGGTTGGCCTTGAACTCACAGTGATCCTCCTGCCCCAACCTCCCAAGTGCTGGGACTCCAGGTGTGCACTACCACATCTGGCTGATGTGGCAGTTTTTAAAAAATTATATCAAAATCTTGCCAGGGTGTGGTGGTGCATAAGTATAATCTCAGCATTATGGAGACTGAAGCAAGAGGATTGCCTACTATCCTGTCACTGTTTTGTTTTGTCTCACTGTTCTGTTTTACTCCCTTTAAAATAAAAAACAAAAAAACAATTGCAATAGATAACCTGCGGTGGATTGACAACTGGTGGGCAACTTGTAACACCCAGCTGAACTGCATCAGTGTGGTGCTGAATGTGGGTGGCCCACCTGAGGATTATGCCCAGCAACATAAGAGATGAGCATGGGAGAGGAACAGTGTGTTGCTGCTGGTTCTCCTGTTGCCGTTGGTTCTCTTGGAAGAGCTTGCTGAGCATCTTCCCTGATATCAACTTGGCTGTTCTCATCATCGGAGGAGCTCAGGACCTTGATGTCACAGCTGAAGGTGACTATGGTTCTTTTTGGCGGAGTTCTGGTCCTTTACTTGAAGTGTTACTTCCTGGCTCCAGTGCAGATCCCTCAGCCTACTGGCCCAGGTTCTTTATCCTGCTGGCATAGACTTTCTAGCTTCCACCAACTGACCTTTGGGCCTTCCCTGTGCAGATTGATGAATTGGGCTCTAGGCCTCCAGTTGTGGGGGTGCATTGTCATGGTGCAAGTCTTCAGCTGGACTCATGCAGGACATTGCCAGAGATCGTGGCCCTCAGCTGGATTATTTGGGGTCTTTAGTGTATGGACAGATTTCCCACACTTTTTGTGTTTGACACTTTGGGTGACTATTATAAAATAATTCTGTGAATTATATGTCCTGTAGTAAATTGTTTTTCTTGCAAACCCTGACTACGATACAACCTAAGGGTAAACTTTCTAGTTTACTTTGTTTAAGAGCTATGCAGATTTATGGGCAGGCAGAGAGAACTGACCCTTGCTCAGATTCTACCAGGTGGCCCTCCTTTCCAGCCCCAAGGTCTATACTGGATCCGTGGGAGAATTCACTTATTCTGTTATGTCTCATCATTAGTTTAGTTCTTGCTATTTGGTATGGCTTCCTCTTACCTAATAGCTTTCTCTAAAAGTTCCTAGACCATTACCTTTATTCAAATGTCAATGTGGTCAGTAACTGAATTGGTATCTAACTTGAAATAGATGAAGAATTGATTTGGAGAGATTCCAATGGGATTCCTGGGAAATTAGAAGTTGGGAATAATTTTGGACTTTGTAGCTGATCCAACTTCTCAGTGACTTAGATGGGTAGAGGGGACCACCCTGCAACCAAAGGAATGCAAATATTAGTGTACAGCAAAAGCAATGGCATATTGTGCAGCTCTTTGTTCAAGTTAGGGACTTGTGCACATCACTAAATAAGACTGAATGCTTCACTTTCCCTGATTTAACACCTAGAGAGCTTAAGAAAAAGTGCTGATACGATCATTTTTCTAGACATGATCACCAAAAACATTGAGAAACTTCTCAGGAAAAGGTAATATGATATGTTTTGGGAATGGCTAGCAAGCTGGTTTGCAGACATCCTGACTAATGTTAAGCTTGGCTGCTTAGTGGTTTCCTAATCTTTACATTTCTTTTAGTAGACCTCCATGTGACTATGACTATATTACCAGACTAACCACAAAATTGAATCTCTTTGGATTAGACCATTTTGCCTCATACTGTAATCTTCACTTTCCATCGTACACCATACATCATACACCATAGTCTGATTGTTCATCAGACTATGAACAATAGGACTTAGATACTGTTGAACTTCTGTTTATTTATGATTGACTTGATTTGTGGATATGCCTTTTAAAGTGTATTTCTCTTAATTTTTTTGTATCATATTGTGGTCTCCAAGAGTTTAAAATGTCTGCATACTGATGTCAATCACATTATGATTGGAATAATAAAAATATAAGAGTTGCAAAGAAAGAAAGAAAAACAGAGAAAGATAGCCCCTGTTCCTGGATAGGCAGGACCAATATTGTTAAAATAGCCATACTCCCAAAACTAATCCACAGATTTAATGCAGTCCAAATCAAAATACCAATATAGAATTCCTCCTAGTACCAGAGAAAACAATCCTAAAATTCATATACATCATAAAAGACCCGAATAGAGAAAGTAATCCCGGAGAAAATGTAAATCAGGAGGCATCTCAATGCTAGATTTCAAGTTATATTACAAAACTACAGCAATTAAGAAAAAAAACCCACATTCAGCCATTTGATCTTTGACAAAGGGGCTGGAGGAAATATATCAGCTTTAACAAACAATGCTGGCTATATACATGCAGAAAACTGAATTTTTTTTTTTTTTTTTGAGACAGGATCTTACTATGTAGTTCAGGCTGGTCCTGAACTCACTACATAGCCTAGGCTAGCCTCAAACTCACAGCAATCCTCCTACCTCAACCTCCCAAGTGCTGAGATTACAGGCATGCAGAAGATTGAATGTAGATGCATATCTCTAACCATATATTAAGTTAAAATCAAAATGGATCAAAGAGATAAATTATTAAAACATAACAATCTACTAGAGAATAGGTAAAAGTCTTGAAGGCATAGACATAAGCAAAGATTTTCCCAGTTGCACAAGAAATAATGTCTAAAATCAGTAAATGGTATTATATCAGAGTGCTTTTGCATCACAAAAGAAACAACCAACAGAGTGAAGAAATAACCTACAGAATGAGAAAAATCTCTGCCAGCTTCTCTTCAGATAGAGGGCTAACATATATAAAGAAAGTTTAAAAGTTAGACACACCAAAAAAAGAGACTCAGTCAAAAACTAGGCATCTAAAATAATAGACATGGGCTGGGGATTTAGCTCAGCAGCATAAGTGTCTGCCTGGCAAGTGCAAGGTCATGAGTTCAATCCTCAGTACCAAAATAAAATAAAATAAAATAGAAGTGCAAATGGCCAATAAACATGTGAAAAAATATTCAACACTCTCTACCCATTAGAGAAATGCAAATTAAAACAATACTGGGATTCCATTTTATTCCAGAAAGAATGCCCATCACTAAGAAATAATAATAAGAAATGCTGGCGAGCCCATGTGGGCAAAGAAACCCTTCTACAATGATGGTGTAGATGTAAACTTGTGTAACCACTAGGAAATCAGTATGGAGAGTCCTCAAAAGCTAACACTAGAAGAAAGAAATAAGGAAAGAAGGAAGGAAGGAAGGAAGGAAGGAAGGAAGGAAGGAAGGAAGGAAGGGAGGAAGGAAGGTAGGGAGGAAGGAAAAGAAAGTTCAAATTGGTCAGTCCCTATTAAAACACTGAATCTGGGCCATGCGTGGGCTGCCGCCAAGTGGGAACAACCAGACCCAGGCCTTTGAGTCAGCGCCATTCACTGACTAGGGGGAGAGAGAAAATGGCCATACCAGGAAGCAAGCCCAGTCTGGGAACCAGTACCATGCGCAGGCTGCCACCAGACCCCAGCCCC